CTAATTTTGTTTCAAATAAGGGTAAAATGGTCATTAAAAATTAAAAGAGGGCAAACTTAAAAATGGACTCTCAAAGGGGGCATTTTTGAAAAGGGGTATTGAAAAAGGGGCATTTTTAACAATTTCTCTTAAAACATATGTAACGTCAAATAACTCTAAATGGATGCATTAGTGATTAGGCTAACAGATAACCAAAATAACTCTAATTAATTCAAAACATTAAATCCAATTAATTCACAAAAATGTACGCTAAGTCTACTTCTATATATTACCCACATGTGAAGCTAAAAAAACTATTGTAGAGTTTTTGCTTTTTCCAGTCTGTTCTTTTATTTTTTATTGACTTTTAGTTGCTTTCTCTTTATTTCAGGCTATTGTCCATATAGTAAAAATATCTACAAAAGTTTTCTCATTTGGTGTTCCAGTTAGGTTTGTGATTTCATATGGTGTTCAAGTTAGGTTCACCAACACCATTAGTTCTACATAAAAGTGTTCTATTTTTTTTTAAGTTCTATTTTTAATTGTTTCTTTATTTTTCAACTCACCAATAAGATTTGTATACATACATTGAGAAAATTTATATCTATTATTATGGTCAGTTAAAGTGTAATTATAAATTTAAGTATTTAGATAAATGACATTACATTATATTTATTAAATTTTCTCACTCTTATGATCTATATGTATTCATAAATTTGAAAACTATAAGTTTGTTAAAAAATTTATGATATAAAATGAAAAACCATTTATGTAATTATTCTCAACATCACTTATCAAAAAGTTAAGAGTTTGTTTTCAAATTTATGAATATGTAAAGCTGTTTCAAGATGATTTTGTTCTTGAATACGTAAAACTCATGGGATCATGAGTCAAAAAAAAAATCAGATAGTTTATGCCATTCTTTATTTCTTTTACATAATTACTCAACGTTTGAGAGAGATCGACGTTTGAGTTTCATATATCTTTATTTTTAATATTGTATAACATTTGACTTGATTATGTTTTGAATTCAATTTATTTTTAGTTTATCATACAAATTAAGTAAGAAATAAAGATCATATGAAAGAATATAAAATTTGTATTTATTTTTATCAAAGTTTCCATAAAACCAACCCAATGAAATTTACCCAAAAAATTTAAAAAGTTCCACCAAAGGTTTTTTTTCTTTTTAATCTATCCTCATGGGATTTTTGAAAAGAATTATGTTTGCTTAGGGAATTTGCATAGAATATCATAATTGACTAATTCAGTTAAAACCTATCATGCTATTAAAGTATTTAGATAAACGGCATTACATTATATTTATTAAATTTTTGTACTCTTATGACCTATATATATATATATATATATATACAAATTTTATAAAATGGCATATTTATTTTGTTTTCAAACAATTGAATTTATATATATACATATATATATATATATATTAAAACTGAACTAAAATTTTTTAATATAAACTTTCAAAAATAAAATTTTTATTATATCATCTGAAGTCATTTTCCTAAATTAAATATGATTATAATTAAGTGTAACATATATATATGTTTTTTGCGCAAAGGCTGATTCAATTTAACTTATGTTTGGGCAGGCTCATTACAAGAGAAACGAGAGACTGTTTTGCCAATGAATCAGCACCTGAGTTCTGCAAACGGGGAATGAAACTAAACGAAATAACATCAAAGGTAGAAGATAAATTCAGGATATCGAAGAGAATCCCATGAAGCTCCTTGTGTTGAAGCTCAGATTTTAAAGCTTTGACTAGCTGTGCTGAGTCGGAAGCGAGAGAGAGATGTGAAAAACCCAGATTAACATGTATAAAATATGTTTTTTCTCATTTGGACCACCTTGCTATTTTATTAAATTTAATCATTATCACAAATTATTTAAATTTTTCTTAAATTTTTAACATATATAGATAAAATTTAGCAAAAAAAAATAATAAATATGAATATATTTTACCTTTGATCTCCTAATTTTATTATGGATTATATGGATATAATATCTAAACCTTATTGTCGAGGGAAAGTCATGAGATCGGGAAGATCTACCTTCTGATGAGATCCAACGAGGGAAAACGGCCAATATCAACCCCAATTATCAACTCGAAACCACATAAATGTCAAATAACAAACCTAAACTATGTAATCGTTAGCCAATTTTAACATATACATGTTATTAAATAATGTAACAAACCTGAATTATTTAACCTTTAGCCAATTGAATAAAATGAATGATTCAGATACAAAAGAACATATAATTACGACTTAACAATTCTAATCGACATTAACAAATACAAAAAAAAAACTGTGTTAAAATTGGATAACGGTTAGATAGTTTAGGTTTGTTTTTTTAAAAATTGTATGAGTTCGGGTTGATTAGCTCTGGGGGTCAGAGTTTGGGATGAAAAAGCCGCATAAAAATAGTTGGAGTTGATTTTGACCGTTTTCCCGATCCAAGGATCATGAAGCAGCAAACAAGTGATTCTACGATGAGGTATGATATATATATTTCCACAATAAAATATTTTATGTAAATGAAGAAAAAGTAGTGGTATATATTTATGTCATACCATCTTGTATTACTTTAATACAAATTTCATTATTATCCAGAATTAATATTAAATATATAACCCACGCATCGCGTGGGCAGCTTTCTAGTATATATATATATATCGTTTAGTTGTTTGATCATATAAATTCTTTTCCATTCTATTAGTTTTAACAACAAATATATTTTCTATCCAGCAAGTTTCAATTTTTATTTATCATATATGATTCACTTAAGCCCTTAAAAAAAAAAGAATCATTATACAGTGACTCTATTGCTAGAATACATTTGACATTTTCTTGTCCTTTCTAATAGAAAGTTTCTATGATCGATTGATAAAATAAGAGAGATCCGTTAGAAAGTGTAGAAAAGACCAGTGAATTTGACAGAAAATAATAGAATTTTAATTCTAGTGCTATTCAACTAGGTATTTTATAAATTCTTTAAAATTCTTATGTTATTCAATTTCTGAATTTAACTTGCTCTTTCAAATGCAGGTGTTATTCAAAATTATGTAGTTTTGTATGAAAATTTGATTTTACAATAATTTAATAGAAATCCTAGTGTAAAATGTAAAGAACAAATTCTCAGGTTTTAAGTTGTGATTTGGATAGAAGGGTTCTCAAATGAAATTGTCGTTCTCCCCTTGGTCTCACTTCGTCGGTAAGAAGTTAATATTACTGTCCGACGATGATCTATCACGTCGTCGTTCTCATTTCTCACTCTTCTTCGTTTCTGTGTGTTCTCGGCCATGACAAAATGTCCTTTCTCCCTCCTCAGATTCGGATCTACTTTTTCTTGTTAGTAATCATTTGGAGATCTTGTGATTTCATTATTTTACGATTAACAGATAGTATATATGACTCTCCATAACACGTGACAAATTCCATTTATATTTTACATGCTAAGCTTCGTTCGTGAAGAAAGAAAAAAAAGAAAACAGATTATTTATTATTATGAAAATGAAACACAACAAATAAGCTTATGATGCGGCGGCTAAAATAATCAAAACTAACAATAAAAAATATTTACTTAGAAAATCCATGGTGATTGAATGAAAACTCACCTAGTCCGACATGATCGCACTTGGCTATGCAATGGGAGTGAAACTGTGCGTTTTAGCTTTGTCGTTTTATCCACAAATACCTTATTGGTGCAATTTTTTTGATCCGAATCAACCACAATCGCCAATCTCTCACAATTGTTATTTTTAGTTTCTTCATTTTCATTCTTCCCGGCAGAATCGTTGACACAGTGTTCTTCTTCCACGGCCACTTTAGCAACTTGCATTGACCCGTGGCTTGACGAGACAACCATGACAATACCGAGACCTAGCCAGATGAGACTAGGAAGAATGATCAGGGACAAGGAGTAGTAGATGATCCATTGGAACCCGCTATGGTTTTTGCCATGAAATGTCCATTCAAATGCAAAACCGATTCCGGAGAAGAACGTGGCAAAACTGCTTATAAAAAAGATTCTAATGGTTCTCGGGTTAGGAACGTCGAAAAATGTCTTGATGTGGTTAAGCCAACGCTTTGGTGGTTGCGGTTGTGGACTAATGGCGGTGGTCTTTGGCTTTTGGTCCATGTTCTTTTCTTTTTCTTTGAGAGGAAGAGACTACATAAGTCGTTGAAGCTTTGACTACTAATATAAGGAGATTAATTTTTTTTTCCTTTTTTTTTGTTGGAGTTGTTCAGATTATTCTTGCGATTTAATGGTTGAGATTCGAATATTTTGAAATTATAATACAAAACAGAAAATAATTTAACTATTTATTTATTAGTTACATAAAACAACAAAACCAAGTCAAACCAATACTACTAAATATTTGCATTAACCGAACTATGGAGAGTAAAAATAATAACGAGGCTAGCTTCATCTTTAATTCGACTTTTGATCCTAATTGTTAAAACTAAAACGACCAAAAACAAAAGGATGAAGAGAGAGCAATACTTGATATATAGTGGCTACTGGCTCATAAATCTTGGTTACTTGATAGTGATATAGCGGTTTGTGCCGTGCCTAACCCAATAGTCCTTGAGATCAAGTGGAGAAGAAAGCTCGTGCCCTTCTCTAGCTAAACGACTAAGTAACCTGGACAAGACAATTCCGCTCACCTTCCTACCGCACACTCGAGAATGCCGCTTGTTTGGCATCTGCGAGAGCGGATACTGAGACAAAGTGGTTGTGCAGCAAGATGATTGCCAACCGTCTTACCCGGCCCCACTTATAACACTAACGAGAAGTCCCGGTGCAAGTGCACATGGGCACTGCCATTGTCATTTTATCGAATGTGACTACGTTTCAAGCCAAAATCAAAAGAGACTGAAACCTTTAACTAAGAAGAGAAGCAAACATGCTTAAACTTTAAGAGAAACAATAGAACAAAGAAAACAAATTAATCGCGGTCAATCCAAAAATAACATCAACCACCTCCTATCAAAACGAGAGGGCCGATTTTTCGACATCAATAACCAATAACTTCATAACTTCAAAAACCATTAAAAAAAAAATCTCGAACAAACATATGACAAATTCATTCGTTGATATTTTTAATTTTTTTATGAAGATATGTCAATTTTTTTTAATTTTCCTACAACAATTAAAATATGATATTTCTTATAAAAATCCTAGTAATATGGTAATACGTAAAAAATATCCTAATAATATGGTCAGCACAACTGGTTTTGCCATAACCGGAAAGATTCCAAAACAAATCGTCACTTTAAAATTGGATTAAACCAACCGAACATCGAAAAGATTCGTCTGTTGTCTTCTTCTTCTTCAACTTGTTCTCTGTTCCTCACTTCTTGGTTCTACACACTTCTTGGTTCTACATTCATTCATGTCTCTACCCAAATCTATCTGGTAAATCAAAATAAAAAATTTCACAATCCCCAATTCTCATATCATTACAATCCCTAGATCTCTCTCTGAGTCCCAATTTGCTGTAGTTTTCATGGACCTTGTTCGATTGAGAGACATAGGTTCAATTTCACCTCAGAGAAGAAGGAAATGGCTGATTCTATTAGCGGTTTTCGGTGTTTCGGGTTATGGAGTTTACAGGGTTTACAATTCTGAATACATCACTAGGAAGACGAAGCGTCTTATGAAGCTATTCGGAGGTATTGTTTCATTCGCCGAATTGGTAATCGATTCGGCGGAGACGATAAGTATCGTTTCTCGGGATTTGAAAGAGTTTCTGGATTCGGATTCTGATGAGATCCCTAATAGCTTGAAACAGCTCGCGAAGATTACTAAATCGAAAGAGTTCACTGATTCTTTAGCTAGGGTTTCTGAAGCCCTAGCGATTGGGGTTTTCCGCGGGTATAATTTCGATCAGGAGTTGAAAAACGTCGAAAAAGAATCGAATTTGAGTGTAGTTGATAGAGTTTTCTCAGAGGAAGGAGCTGGTTTTGTTTCTGTTGTTGTTGGTAGCTTTGCTAAGAATCTTGTTCTTGGATTTTACTCTGGTGAGATTGAGATTGATGATTCTTCGAAACCTAGATGGATGAATTTGTTTAGTGATGGTAAGTGTAGAGAGCTTTTAGCTGATTGTATTGAGAGATTTACTAGCTCAGCGGTATCGGTGTATATCGATAAAACGGTTGGGGTTAATACTTATGATCAGATATTCTCTGGTTTGACGAATCCGAAACATCGAGATAGTGCTAGAGATGTTCTTGTTTCGGTTTGTAATGGAGCTCTTGAGACTTTCATGAGAACTTCTCACGATGTCTTTACATCTTCAGGCGAGAAAACCGATTCCTCCTTAAGGAAGTCGGAGAATCGAGAAGAATCGAGAAACGGATGGGCTGAGGCGCTTTCGACTACATTAGCAGTGCCAAGCAATAGGAAGTTTATGTTTGATGTTACGGGAAGAGTGACACTCGAGACAATGAGATCAATTCTTGAATTTGTAATCTTGAAAACGTCACAAAGCTTTAAGAGGAGTTTGGATGTGATTCATGAAGAAGTTACAGAGCGAGGACGTCAAGTAGTTGGATACGTTGGTGCCAAATCTTCAGTGATAATCACTGTTTGTCTTGCGGTTTACCTTCACATCTTTAACCGCATTGTTCGAGGCTCTCCGGTTTACTTAAGCCAGCAATTCTAGTTATCGGATCGATCTTTTAGCTCGTTAGAGTTGTTAGGGACATTAGATCTTCAGCTTTCACATTCTTATTAGTTTATAGTTTGAGCTGAATAACGTAGAGTTTTAGCAGTGTAATGTACACCCCACATATTGATTCTTATTTATACAGAGGATTCTTGAGATAATCTCTGCATCTATGCAACTATAAATGATATAAAACATATGATTGATTACTTGATTAGGCTGTAACTGCTAAATTGCTTAATTGGGCTAAATTATCAGTTAAATTGATGCTGAATTTGAAGGTTGGATGTGACTCAACTAGTTATATACTCTGCTACAGTATTAGGAGTGTGTGACACAAATTGTTACAAAGAACAACAATGAAGAACTTTTTTTTTTCCAAAGTTCATGTGGAAATGATTGAATTACAACATAGATGAATTGATTGAGGAAGAATGCAAAGATACATAATCGAAATGTTGATGTGGCATTGGAGTCTTATTGAGAAGATCCAAGAAGAGTAAAAAGTGTTCCATGAATTTGAATTCATAAGAGTAGTCATGTGAGGCTTGCTTTAAAGAGAAGCTCATGTAAATATTAAAAGATTATGTGAGCATAAGGAGCTTAAGGTTTAGCTTAAGCTCTTGTAATTTTTTTTTTGTCATTCCTTACTTTTTTACATTTGCTTACTCTGTTATATCTTCTTTTATTGGTAACACAAATCAGCAGTAAATGTTTTTTTAGCATATAAGAAAATGGTAAACGACATCAGAATAGTTAAAAGCAGTGACAATAGATACAAAAAGCGATTAAAACAGTAAAGCCCATATATCGCGTTGGTACCAGATTACCAATCAAATCGTTTTTTTTGGTGTTTTTTAAGGCCAAATACTATCTTTTAACAGCATCGAACAGTACTAAAAATAATACTCCCTCTGTTCCTTGTTAATTTATTTTCAAGGAAGAACATTTATTTTGAAAATATATATTTTGAGGTTATATGTATTTTTTAATTAGCTATTGATGATGAACTGTAAATTTCAAAAATAATAAGTTAATGCTATTGGTTTAGTGTTATAAAAATTTGTAAAATCGCAAAAATAATATATATATATATATATATAAATCAAATTTTAATATATTTTTTAATATATGTGAATAGTTATTACTTATTAGTACTGGTTTGGTGCTAATTTTTTGATACACCAACTAAACATTAGAAAAATCAATTCTGAATATACTAGATTTTTCAAAAATAGCTTCAATACATATTTTGAGTGGGTTCATAAATTAGGGCATTCGACGCTAACACCTCTTATTTATTTTATAAATGTAGTTGCGATGACGTAAGAAAAAAAAACAATTGGCGAATAAAAAAATAAAAAGCATTTCGATATGGCTTGTCGTATCTCTTCACCATCTCTTAAGTATGTTGCACTATTGAGTGTGGAGGTGTCGCTAGGTTTACTAGCGTCCGTGATGTACCACTGTTGCACGTCTTTATGGTTTAATTTTTTTTTTTTTCATTTGTGTACATTTATGGATATAGTCTATCGAGTGGAGCGGATTAAGCGGATCAGGTAGATCAAACGGAATAAGAGTGAATCAAACATTAATGGCGGTACAAGTGCGGATCAAACGGTTCTAACGGTCCAAAATGTGTGAATGATGAAAGCGGATTAAATATTTATTTAGTAAAATATATTATTTATAGAAAACAAAAAATTCTTGGATTCACCCTTAGAACCTCTTTCATTCACCCCCTCTTAATTAACCAATTAGAATTTGCCATATCATCTAACTAAACTGGATTCAAGCTGGATTCTTGTTGATGGAGAAATAGAAGATGATAAGCACAAAATGTAAGTTGATTTAACTTCACTCAAGGAATCTTTTACAGCCCAAAATACTTTTTTTAAACCAAAAAATCTCGTCAATTAAATAAATAAACAGGTTTTAGTCAAAATTAAATAAGCAAACCTAGAGTTTGTTTCATCGTCAATATGTCGGAATCTTCTGAGCTTCACCATTACGAACCAAAGGATCCCAATCAAGTCCCATGGACGGAGCTCTGGTAATGCTGTAGTGAGTGACTCTCTTACGAGACCAAATAACATCGACTCCATATGCAACTAAGGATCTCACCACCCTAGCTGCACGGCGGTTATTGATTATAAGCATGAGGCTAAGTAAAATATTTTATTTAGTAAAATATTTAAAATGGCGGTACAAATACCTCGATATTTTCTATACCTCTATATGATAAAATATCTTAATAATAGCTGTAAGAGTCAGTTATTACCTTAACCAAACGGTTTTCAGGCAGTTCCCCAAATTTCTGCCTCGGGTGAGGGAAGCCTATAGCAAAATTCCATCTATTATCAGCAGACTTTTTTAGAATCTTACCAGTCCCCACTATTTTCCACTCCACCGACCGTGGGGATACATTTATCATCTCCGGGCTAGTCTTACCAATAATATAAGATACGGTCACTTTGAAGTTCCTAGCCAAAAGAGCTTTAATTGTTCGAACATAGTCTTTGTCGCAGACAATGACAAAGGTTGACCCCGGAGGTTGATTCTCGACAGCCCATTTTTACATG